TTTTTACCCATTTCCTAATAGTGGTTTTACTTTTTCTTTTTTAAATCAACTTTGTACAACATAAGATAGTTAGGGTTTAATGAGAGAAGAACTAACACCAAATCTTAAGATTCCTAGTTTTTACACTCATTTGAGGAAACAATAAAAATTTGCCATTTACAATGCATTAAAAACCTTCATTTTCACAACAAACAGTATATATATGACTATAGGAGGTTATAATAAATTAACCCAATTTTAATACACATAAGTTAAATGTTCATTAAAAATATGCAATAAGTATTATTTATGTTATACTTGTAAACAGTCTTCAATATAAGAAAAAATAAACATGTTTTAAATATTGCAAGCTTACTAGTGTCAACACAATCAACCAACTAATGGTAAATTCATATCATTAAGTAATGCATTTAAAATAAAACCATAATACTTTTCCCTAAAAACTGTTGCTTAAAATGATTGAATTAAGTTGTATTTATGATCTATAATGGATTTTAAAGAGCTCATTATCAAAAATATTCTAAAACAAAACTGATATTCAAAAGTAGTGTTTACTTGATCTTAACATTGCTTGTCATTTGAATGTGTCATTTATGCTTTTAATAATAAAATATTTTATATAATCTCTAATTATTTATTTTATATATTTTCTTTTTAGTATCTTAAAAACAAATATTAAACATTGGTTTTACATTCATTTACTTTTTTTCTTTTTACAAAAGCATGAAATACTTTGGCCTGGTTATCATTGCAAGCAACACCACAAGAATATCCTAAATTGATTTTCTCTAATAATGGTAGAAGTCAGTAATAAGATAATTTGTGTGTTTTTATTATATCATATCCCAACTATTTAGACTTGTCTAAACTATGGTTCCAAAATCAACCTATCCCAATATAAAATCTATTTCTACAGGAAAATCATTTGCAATAAATTTAATAAAGTATTACTTTTTTCTGATATATAATGTATTTCAACAGTAAATCCATTTGTGATATATTTACATTATGCATGTAGTGACCTTATGTTGTCAGTAATACTTGAACGAATTCCTCACCATAGACAACCCTTCTTGATTTTCACAAATAAAATACATTTTAAGTAAAAATGCAAAAAAACAAACTATATATCCCTTTCCTTGATGTGGCAACCAGAAGGAAAAGCCTGAATTCAAAACCAGCTTGAAAAGGGATTGGCTTTGTCATGCTCTAGACACACTACTGCTGCTATGGCTGCAGTGCATGTGCCCCTATGATCCCAATGGGTTACAGAACTCATGATGCGACAATATAATTATCACATATTTTCCCTTGCTCTCAGAAATATTTTATTTGTTGGTGCAGAAAATAACTCAAGGAAAGAAGTGATGTAATATCAGTCGGTGGGCAGCAATTAGAAAGGTCAAAATCTTGCCTATATGAATCAAGTACTAAGATACAATTGATTGCTTTTTGATGTTTTTTCCCTTTTACAGCCAAAATTTACTATTACTCTCACACTAATTAGAATAAATGAAAACTTTTATGCATGTGTTTAATAAATTGTATCAATGATGTTATAGGGTACATAAATAATGTTACAATAAAATTATTTAAAAATGTTTTAATTTGTAGGCTAAAAAAGTTGAGATGAAAACTTTAGATGGTGTGATAACACGATACGGACCTGATGGAGAGAAGAAAAGCCTCACCCAAAAATGTGCTGATCTCGACAAAGAGGTTTGTTTTATTTTCTGGAATATTTTTATTTTGTGAAAAATTCTAAATAAACAGTAATATTGCATTCTTCAAAATTGTATGGATTTCATTTCCGTCATCAAGTTTTCACCCCTATCTTGGATATTTGAAAACTTACAAAAACCTGGTTATATTTTGGTAAGAGTTACTAGTAGAAGAATTTTGGTAAATAAGATTTTGCAGTGCTGTGCCAAAAGTCTTTGGGCACTTGCAAATTTCTAATAATTACCAACTCATAAGTAGTTGTTTTTCATTCTTCTGTTTGCAGGTGAAACTTTTACCATATTAAAGTGATTTTCACACTTAATTATCATATTTTGTAGCAAAGGTTTTGAATGAGATGTAAGACGACACCCAAAAATATCTGTGCAAATTTATTTAGCCACCTAACCCTTTTTGTTTTCTCTTTTCTGTTCCTCTTCTAAAAGACATTTTTTTCAGAACAGAATCAATTTTTTTTCCTACATATAGGGTAAATTCTGAAATGGATTTGCTGCATATTTTGCCCGAAAACATGAATGTTTCCAAAGAAAGCAAGATGTAAATAGTGAAGATGACACTAGAATATGAGCCAGCAAACAGTAGCTAAAGAACTAAGAACATTAAGATGTGGCATTTCATAAATTCTCTTGAAGTTTCAAGACTCTTGAAGCAATTCAGATTGACCAATGTGTAGTTGCACTCTAAAGCTGCAGTGTAGAAATGTACAGAAACTGATCAGGACAGGAAAAGATCAAAGAAGACAAGAGAAGAATAAATTTGACTTTTTTAAATTGGTGTCAATAGGGTTCTGAAACTAGAAATTAAAGAAGAATGACTAAAGTGTTACATTTCATTTAAGAAACCAACATTAAACAAAAAGCATTTGAAGGCAAGAGTAAGTTGGTAAAAGAATTATGAACTATAGGTTATAGATATTTGGAATTTAATCAGCAGTGAGACTAAAATAGAACTGCATTCTAATAACTGAAAACTTATCCGATGACTTACAGGAAAGCAAAACTAAACAGATTACTGGAAGAAAATGGTGGGATTTGGGGTGAGAGATTCATGCTTCATACTTTTGAAGATGGTAAAGGATTTTTATATCTGCCTTCTTTGGAGCTCTTTTGTAATCAATAAAGTTAAGGGAAGCCATAGAAAATATTAACAAGTATCTTCTTGAAATGAACATTATTTATAAAATATTCATTAAAGACTTTTTCCAGTTTTAATACACTTATTATTTGGTTTCATTTATGTGAGGTATTTTTTGGACATACTCTTGCATCTTCTTGTCTCATTAAGAAACCCTGTTACAGAATATCATAATTAGGTTCATACCTAATTATGATATGGCTTCAAAGGACCAATGTTTCATTTGTAGAAAGTTTGAGGAGAAATATACATTTATAATTTGGCAATTATGAGAAATTTATAATAATTCAAAGTGACCAAAGACATTTGCATGGTACTGTACTATAAATGATGACACTAATGTGTGTTCATGGTGCTGGCTTTGTTTTTTTTTTTTTTTTTTTTTTTTCTTTCTCATTGTTTTTGATGCAGTTTTGTGTCAGCCATTTTCTATAAAAAAAAAATCTAAAAATCTATAAATTAAGGTAAAAAAAAATTCTGGCCAAGTTTTTATTCTTGCCTTAAATAAAATCATGGCATGGAGACATATATATATCAAGCAACACATTACATGATATGCATGTAGTGTCACTGTAAATGTACTAAACTATTAAATAAAAACAAGTCAAAATTTAACTTTTTCTACTTGATACTAAATTATAAACGTGTCATTAAATCTATAGTTTAATCTTTTTATTAACATTTTCACTGCTGTGGACATACTTATGCTTCTTTATGAAATTTACATTATCTGCTGTTGGCACATATATACTTTTTTCAAAACAGTGAAATGTCAATTCTATGCATTTATATTATAAATTAACTAGCATGTTATTTCCAAACCAGTGCAGACCTATAATAGCATACAATAAGACCTGTTTTGTGATATATTATTATTGTGTCTGGCAGTGTTGTTCAGCTTAGGCTGTATTGCATACAGTGCATATAAGTGGATGTTTTATATTGTGTTTTTTTTTTGTTTTTGTTTTTCAGATGAAACATTAGCTCTTTTGGAGTCATTTTCATATTTAATTATCATATTTTGTAGCTGAGCTTCTAAATAAGAGGGGAGATGCAAGATGTCCCTGCAAAATTTACATGCAAACATTTGTGCCTTTATGATTTCCTCTTTTTGGTGCCATTGCAAAAATTATTCACAACTTATTTTTTTCCTACATATTGTGAACATTTTTACAATGCTTGGAAATTTCCAAAGAAGCAAGGCTGAAAATATTGAAGTTAGCCAAGAATATGAACCAGTGAGTAATAGATAAAGAGCTTAAAATTTCAAGAAGTGGCATTTTAGAAATCATCTTAGTTTCACAGCACTGAAAATGGGTTTCACTAAGATGTAATTGTCTTCAAGTGTTGTAGCATAGAATGACACAGAAACTGAGCCAAAGAAAACTGAAAACCATGTGATGGATGAGTTTAATTTGTTCAATTTGATATCAGTAGATAGCACTAAGTGCATCCTTTGAGGATATAGATTGAAAAAGTTCATTTCAGCTGAGAGATTCACATTAAACAAAAAAAAAATTAAATTAAATTGGTCAAAGAGGTATAAATTATGGGATATACATCCTTGTAAGAAGATCACATTTGATGATGAAATTCATATGAAGCTGCATTTGAATTAGCAAGAATTTGTGGGAAGGGCTACAGGAAAGTGAAATGACCCATGGTATATGAAGAAAACTGTGACTTGGGATGAAGAGTCTAATGCTTTGGGAATACATGAAAAGTTATAATTGCTGATAGGTTGGATTATGCCAAATACATGCAATTTCATCCTTGTGTCTTAGTGGCTTTACTGCCTTGCATGGGGTGAAATGATTTAAAAAAAAAAAAAAGTTGCTGAAACATAAACATCATTTATTATCAGGTTTGAAGGTGAAATCTTTCAGCATAATATTGATCCATGCCAAAGATCACATGAAATATGACACAATCTGGCTGATGAAGGTCACACCATATTGAAAGATTAGTCACATCAGAACCCTGGCTTAACTATCACTAACCAAATATGGACAGAACTAAAGAGAAGAGTTCATCAAAAGAATCTATGCAATCTTGAAGAATTGTGGGAGATCAGTCACAGAAAATGGCATCTCATACTTGTGAAGAATTTGTATGCATCTCTTCTATCATCTAATCACTGAAGTTAAGCAATGTTGAGCCTGGTTATTACCTAGATGGGTGACTACTTGGGAATACCAGGTGCTGTAATCAGGGAGCCAAGTTCAAATTCCAGTCGGGTTTGTTATATTTACTTACATGCAAATACCCTTGGTAAAAGTATGAATCCACATCTTCTCCTTCTAGCTATGGGTTAAATAGTATGACTTGTATCAGCAAATCATTATTATCCCCCAAAAATTCTTACAATCCAAAAATAGGTTTTGACTTTAAATAACCTTAAAACTGTTGATAACCCATAAAAAATAAATCAGTCTTAGGTGCATTGAAGCAATTATTCAATCTAAGGGAACACACATGAAATATGAATAATGTTCAATGGCTTTTTTTAAAATTAATATTATGTAATAAATGCTCATTATCGACATTTTTCTCTGGTTTGGTTTAAATGAAGTTGATTTAAAATTTTGCGTGGCCATTTTTGGATGTTTTCTCACATCTTCTCTTGTTGAAAATCTGATACAAAATATAATGACTAAATCTGAAAATCACTTCAATAGAATCAATGTTTCATCTGTACAACCCTTGGCAAGAATTATGGAATTAGCACTCTTAGAGAATGTTCACCTTGTTTTTTTAATTTAGCAGTAAATAAACTAATCACAGATAAGACACAAAACATTTTAATTTAATAGCTAAACATTCTGGTTTCATAAAATATAGCTTAATGTAAATTAAATTATTTAAATTAATGGTATAATTTTTTTTTCCAAGCCATGTAGAAGAAAATATGGAATGACCCAATATTAAGGTAAAATTATGGAATTCATCTGCAAAATAATTAAAATACTTTCTTGTCCCTCCTTAAGTTTTTATGACTGTCTTAATTCTTTTAGAATTTAAAGCAATATTCTTTATAAAAATGGTTCCAACTTTACCTTAATGATGATTAATAGATCTTTTGTGGATGGAACCTTCTCATGGACCTTTTTTATTTCCATAAATTTTCAAGTGGATTTAGATCAAGACTGGATACCTCATTGATTTTTATATGCCTTTCCTGAATAAATACTTTAATTCCCTTTACTCTATGATAAAATTTATTATTATCCTGAAAAATGACCTCAGCATCATTAAACCAATTTTCTATCAATGGAGTGAGAAAATTACCCAGGATTTTAATGTACACATATGCATTGATTGTTGACACAATGATTGTTATCTACCCTGGTCTTTTAAATTATATACAACCTTATATCATGAATGACATGGGAAATTTTTTTCAACTGTTTGAATATAAAAATTCACTTTAAACTACAGAATATGCTAGTAGCTTTGTGAGCGTGAGAAATTATTGCTTCAAAGAAAATTACAATCAAAGAAATAAATCCCCAACTGTTGCAGCAGGTTCAGCTGTACAAATCAATTGATGTAGTTCCAGGTACTTGTTCAGAATATAATTAACTTCATCAGCTCTTTACAGGCTTCAACTAAAAGTTGGAATGGCTATCATTTTTCTTCAAAGTTGTGCAATGGAACTCAGCTTGCAGTCAAAGAGCTTCTCCCACATGTCATTGAATTAACTATGCTAACTGGGGTAGAGAAAAAAGGATCCCTATAATTCTGACAGACTTGCCCTTTAATTCAAGTGATATAAATACTCAGTGATGCTCAGCTTTGCAATGATTATTAACAAGGCACAAAGACAGCACTCAACATTTCTGGTCTCAACTTTACTTCTCCATTCTTTTCTTATGATAAACCCAATGTTGATGTCCTATGGTTGGATCCCAAAACAACTGTTTCATATAACCATCCAGTAGAAAGACTAATATTAATTACACTTGGACTATTGTCCTCATCTTTGTTGATGTTACTACAATGTTCGTGCCCTCCAGCCTTCATCAGGTGTATATTGACCGAGGTAACCTACAGGGAATTCTGAACTGAACCCTTTAGACTTCTTGCTCCACTGCCCATCTCAACTAGTTCTTATTTTTAATACTGCTCAGTTATTGCTTGCCCTGTTTTGAGTCCAACTACATACTGCCTGGCCCAGGGAATGAACTTACAATTACTGTCACCAAATTTGGGTAGTAAAATATTTTTTCTTAACATACTTTTTCATGTATAAATCTTTTTTTTTTCATTTGTTATGTTGTATATGAAAAACTATGTACAAGAACATTTTTCCTGTGTTGCTATATTTAAAATAATTTTTCCTCATACAATGCTGAATATCTCTGCCAATGTGTATATGTGTGTGCAAAAGCAAACTCCTGTATGATTTGGTCTATTTAAGTGTTTGTTTATAATCTTTCTTTTATGTTCTTCAGATGGTTACTTCTCTTGGTGTATCAAAGGCAGTTTTGGAGAATGTCATATTTTGTCATCAAGAAGAAGCCAATTGGTTAGTTTTTATTTAATGTATTAAAGGAATTTCAAGCAAAAATTATTGAGTAATGTTTAATCTTCATGCCTGCAAAAAAATGGTGTGTCAAAAAGACAGTTATTTCTGTGAAATTAATATTAATGTAATAACTTTTCACTCCTTTGGCAATGTCTATTGTTTTAAAAAGTGATGATTAAAATTTTAATAAAACCCAAACATATCAAAGTATATTTATACATTTTCTATATTCTTAAGAATTGACAACAATAGTTCATTGATATATTTATAAATTTATGAATAAAAAACTTGTTTTTATAGTTATTTATAAAATTGTAAATAATAAATATTGCATTGTAATTTGTTTACATATTTTGATAACTTTGTAATATTTTATAAATTTTTGAATAAAAAGATTTTTCAAATTTATTTTTTTTATAAAATCGTAAATCTTTATAAAAGGTAAATAATAAATATTGTATTGTACTTGGTTCACATATTTTTATAATCTTGTAAATAACTATTGCCAAAGGGTGTTCTGAACTCAAGGAGAGATGGCATGTGTTTTTCAAAGGTCAAAAAAATGAATAGATTTCAAGTGTAACTGAAAAGTGTAACTATTGTTTAAAAGTCCACTGACTTTTCGATACCTAAGGTTTAAGATTAATTTTTAAAAACAAAAAAAACATTCTTGAATATTTCATTTTAGCTTTAATTGAAAGCTAAATGATTAAATTTACTATTTCCAGTAAGTAAAATATTCAGGTGTATTTTAAATAAAAATTTTATAGATTGGAATCTCAACTTTTTGGTCAATTGAAGTAAATTTTCTTAAAAGCGGACATATTCTTAATTTTAAGAAATTTGTAAACAAAAAAATATTTTTGATTTTAAAAATCCTCAAAAATTAAATAATATATTTGTGACACATTATTTGAGTAAAATTAGCAAATTTAAAGTTAAATTAATCTGATTTGAAACAATTATTACTTATAGCATAAAAAATATAGTATACAAGCATTTCTTAACAACAGTTCCTCTTTTGATCTTGTCTTTATTGAAGTTATTGAATAATTGATAAGTTACAAGGTAATGACAACTATTCTGGATGACAAGAATTGACATAAGTTTTACGAAATCTAAGTGAACATGTTTGAAATTTTGGTTAAAAATCTTGTTTTTTTTTTTAACATCAGTGATTCAAAATTAAAATTACGTTGAGTGTTTTTGCACTTTTTTCTAGTAAAAAAACATTGATTTGGAAATTCTTGCAAAAATCAAATAATTGTCAGATTTTAATGAAATTTTTGGGACTTATTCACAAATGAATGAAATTATTTTTGAAACTCTTTGTTTTAGAAAAATCTTGGTAAGAATATTTTTTTTACATATGTTCACCCTCTCCCACTTAATTTCATCAAATTTCAAGTATTTAAATTTCCATTCTAGAAATTCTTTTATTAATTACAAGGATACCTTGGAGCATGTAAATCAATTTTTTTTTTAAAGCAGCACCACCAGTTATTAAAAATCTGCTTCTAATTGTAAACTAAAAAATGCGATAAAACTATCTAATTATTTAATTAGAAAAGCTTTTAACTGCTTTTATAAATAAGATATATTAAGGACACTATCATCTTAAGAAAAAAATTTTTTGATGAATAATGAATTTTTACAAGAATTGTTTTCATTTTTTAAATTTTTATTAAATCATTTATAATAATTTAAAAGTCATTTAAAATTCTGCATTTACTTCAGTTCTTTTAGGTGATATTGTAATGAAGTGGAAAATATGTTTACGAAACTAAAATTGAAAACTTTATTAAAAGTCATTGTCCCCCAGTATTTTTTAAATAATTTTTACAATTCTTTTTAATTTTAACATTAATTTTTTCTTCATATGGTATTCTGTACATGCCATTATTATGAAAAGGCATGTGTCTCAAAGAGTTGTCTCCATTTATAGAGGAAATTCGCTTGTCTGTAATTTGTTATTCATGGTTATTCATGTCTCGACTTCAAAATTAAAAGAAAGATATTTAAAAATATAAATTATTATTAAATAAAATGACATAACATTTCATCATAAACTGAGTTACTCTATCATGGCATTTCATTTGTATCTTGGTTATTAAATTTTAAAATTAATTCAAGAAAGATTTTATAGTATTTTAAATTTTATCATTTTTTTCATAACTCATATTTGAATATAACTAAATGTCAATAAAATATTAGATAATTGCTGAAAATATGTTCATTTATAAAAATTGCTACATAGTTTACCCACACCCCATTGCATTCACTTAGATTTTGTAAATTTATGTCAAGTCTGGACATCCATACAACCCATCAACATGTTGGACCCCATTGATAGGTCAATATTGACATTAGAAAAACAGGACCTGCTGTTAAGAAATGCTTGTATACTACTTTTTTATGCTATACATAAGTAATATTTGTTTAAAATAAGAATAATTTAACTTTAAATTTGCTAATTTTACTCAAATAATGTGTCACAGATATATTAGTTTTGGAACATTTTTAAAATTGATAATTTTGTTTTGTTCACAAATTTCTTAAACGTGAGAAAATGACCACTTGTAGAGAGATTTTTTTTTAAATGGATCAAATATTTGATATTCCAATCTATATAATTTCTATTTGAAATACACCAGAGTATTTTGCTTACTAGAAATAGTAAA